TTTCACACACACACACGACCTGTTCAAATAAATTCAATAGTACAATCACAGTAGTACGGTAGTGTATGCTGCTAAAACACAGTTCTCCATAGTCTGGGACCACATAGGAGACCCAGGTGTCATTATTAGTCCAACCTAAAGGGCAGGTACAATGGTGTGTACCTGTAATCAGAGAGACTCAGAGAGGATGAAGCAGAAGGACAGCGAGTTTAAGGCTGGCCTGGACAATGTAGCAAGATCCTGTCTAAAGAAGTGCCAGGTACAGGCTGGCCTGAAGTCTAGTGGTTAACCAAATCCCACCTAGCTGACACTGGTTCAATTCTCAGCCCCAGTAGCTTGGGAAACATGATAGGTACATGGGCATGCACACCTAGAATCATAATGGGATGGAGAGATGGTGAGGAGACTGTAGCATGATTACTCCCCATTGGGGGTGCTTTCTTCATCTCCCACTCTCTGTCTCTCTGTCTTTTTTTTTTTTTTTTGAGAGAGAGATTTTCACTATAGAGCATGTGCACTCATCAGACAGACAAAGACATAGAGACAGAAAGTGAGAAATCACCCCCCGGGGGGATGGTCACGCCGCAATCCCTTCTCCTCCATTCTCCTCTCGGGATCTTGGGCACGCATGCACACGCGCCCGGCGTGAGTTTTAAGCCACCGGGTCCGGGACGTGAACCACAGTGGACTACGTGGGAGTCCAGCGACATAGCCATTACACTAACTGCTGGTTCCCTCTCTGTCTTTTTCTAAGGAATGTATACATTCTCTGGGAATTCAAAAAAAAAAATTGTTTAAAGCCAGGCATAGTGGCACATTACTATAGACCCAGCTTCCCACCTGGGAAGAGGATTCCAGCACGGTAAGACCCAGTCCTTAAAAAAAAAAAAAAAAAATTTCCAAAGTTGCAGGATACATAATTAACATACAAAAATCAGTTTATTTCTGTACACTAACAATGACCTGAGTACAAAAGAATGACATTGGACCTGTATCTTATACCACACACAAAAATCAACTCAAAATAAAACTTAAAAGACTTAAACGTAGGACCTGAAACTATAAAACTCATAAAAGAAAACATAGGGAGAAATTTCATAACATTTGTCTTGGCAATGGTTTCTTGGCTACAACACCAAAAGCACAGACAACAAAAGTAAAAATAGATCATTGGGATGGCATCAAACTAAAAAGCTTCTGTGCAGCAAAAGAAACAATCAACAAGGTAAAAAGGCAACCTATGGACAATATTTGCAAATCATATATTTAATAAGGAGTTAATATTTAAGTAGATAAAGAACTACAACTCAATAGCAAAAACAACAACAACAAAAAAAGTACCAGCCACAAACAACTCAATGTACAAACTGGCTAAAGGGCCGTCTCCATGCCATGGCGGTAATGCATTGCTTGAGTGAAGCAATGAATGAATGCCACATGATCAAAGTTTGAATCTCCATCTGACTGACCTGAACCTTGCTGGCACACATGCAAGTGGCCAGGATCTGATGGGCTGGGAAGACTAGAGAAGGGGGAATGCAGTGTGACCAGACTTTGTAGAGGGGGCTCCTATCTCTCTTGTCTATCATGACAATCTATCATAAATAAAGGCTGGGGAAGAGGAGTGGAGAATGGGCAATAGACTTCAACAGACATTTCTTCAAAGAAGACATAGAGAAAGTCAACAAGTATATAAGCAATATCCAATATTATTGATAATCAGGGAATGCAAATCAAAACCACAATGTGATATCACACATAACAGGATGACCATTATTTAAAAAAAAAATAGTAACAGATATGAAGGAGAATGTGGAGAAATTGGAACCCTTGCACGGTGTTGGTGGGAATGTAAAATGGTGGAGCTGCTATGGAAAACAGTAAGGAGATTTCTCAAGAAGTTAAAAATAGAACTACCATATGACCCAGCAATCTCATTTCTGGGTATTCCCCCAAAAGCATTGAAATTAGGACCTCAAAGAGCTATGTCTACTCTTAAGCTATTTGCAGTATTATTCACAATAGCCAAGAGACAAAAACAACCTAAATGTGCATCAATGGATAAATGCATTAAGGAAGTATGGTGTATATATAAATTGGAAAAAAAAATGCTTTAATGAGGGGAGATAAAGAGATAGGTCTCTTCGGGGCCAGCAGGTGGCATGGTGGTTAAGGTGCTGGACTCCCACACAGCCGACCATAGTTTGAGTCCTTGAAGATCATGCCAGGCACGTGTGCGTCTATGCCCAAAAATCCCAGGAGAAGAAAGGAAGCGAAGGGATTGTGGCATGGCCATGCACCCTGAAGGGTGATGGTGACTTCTCATTTCCCTCTCTCACTGTCTCTCTCCAGCGAGCATACTCACCTTCAAAAAGAAAAAGAAAGAAAAAAAAAAGAGAGAGAGAGAGAGGTATTTTCTCCAGGGTTTCACCATGCTGTGATCTCCCACCCTGGCCTCTCAGCTAGGCTTCCAGACACCAATTGCCACACCTGACATGGCTAGGCTGTTCTGGGATCGAAACCCAGGCTTTTCAGGCAGGGGCGGCATCACATGGCAGTGCCCTACTACCTGACCACTGTAGCTGAGCCCCAAAGGTGAAATATTAACCAGCTCTAAGAGAAGGAACTTCTTCCATATGTTACAGCACGGATGAACTCTGAGGATAGTATGCTGAGTGAAATAAGCCAGTCACAGAAGGGAAAACGCTTGAATTTGTTCACGTGAAGTAGCAAAAACAGTCAAACTCTTGGAAGCAAAAAGTAGAATGATGGCTGCAGGGAAGGGAGGGAAGCCAAAAGGGGGAGCTGTGTCCAGTGGGGCAGGGTTTTAGCCACGGACGAGTTCTAGAAATCTGCTGTACAACAATGAGCACCTAGCTAACACTGCTGTTTATACACTGGAAAATGTAGTAAGCGTGTAGATTTCATGTTATGTGATTTTTTCCATAATTTTTTTAAATGAAAAGAAAGGGGTACAGTAGGTGGTGTGGTGGTTAAGGCACTAAATTTCCACATGGCCAACCACAGTTCAAGTTCCAGACTCAGAGGCTTGAGGACTCCAGGCATGGGTGCATGTATCACCAAAATCCCAAGAAAATGGGGGAAAAGGGAATGAGGTGTGGTCATCCTCCCAGGAGGGTGATTTCTTGCTTTTTTCCCTTTCACACTCTGTCTCTCTCCTGCCAGGACACGTGCCCTATAGCAAATTTAAATAAATAAACATTTTTTTTTTTGAGAGAGAGATTTTTGCTATAGGGCACATATGTTTGCCAGAGAGACAGAAAGAGAAAAATCACCCCCTAGGGGGGATGGCCATACCACAATCCTTTCTCCTCCATTCTCCTCTCAGGATTTTGGGCATGCACACACATGCACTCAGCATGAGTTTCAGGTCACTGAGTCCAGGACTCAAACCAGAGTCAACCATGTGGAAGTCCAGCACCTTAACCACCATGCAACCTGCTGGTCCCACAAATAAACTTTTAAAGAAAAAGAGAACTTGTCAGGGACCAGCAGTTAGCATAATGGCTATGTCGCTGGGCTCCTATGCAGTCAACCATGGTTAAAGTCCCAGACCCAGTGGCTTAAGGGCGCATGTACATGCTCCCTTAGATCCTGAGAGGAGAATGGAGGAGAAGGGATTGCCGCGTGGCCATCCCCCCGGGGGGTGATTTCTCGCCTTCTGTCTCTCTGTCTTTCTGGCGAGCCCACGCGCCCTATAGCAAAAACCTCTCCCAAAAAAAGAAAAAGAGAACTTGTAATACAGGGTAAAGACTGGAGAGAGAGAAAGCCTATACGGAGCTGAAGCAGGGAAAAGCAGCAGCCAGTCAAAGGATATGACTATTATACCCAGAACTGAGCATCAGTGGGGCATGGCAAGAGAGCCTCTTAGGAAATCCTCATGCGAGCCGGCAGGAGAAAGAGGCTGCTGTAAACACCTGCAGACCAGAGCTGCAGAGACCTCGCACAGCAGCGCCAGACACACAGAACTGCAGATGCCCCGTCCAACCCCCTCCATGCTCATTTGGAGAGAAACTGACTACATACCCTTTCCTAGAAGCAAGCAGTCCACACTGGGACTAGAAGTGTATTAACTCTAATCAAGTTCAAGTTTTTGACTATTACACAAGAATGGACATCTAATTACCAAACAAGATTTTGTTTTATGACTTACGGTGACCATAAAATTCTTTATGAATGGAATAGAACTACCTTGAGGTCTGGTAAAGGCTCTGTCTAGGCCAGGAGGGAAATTTACCCCACTAAATAAGTTCTCAAGGGAGAGTAAAATCCAAGACAAGTTTTGGGTGTATCCCACAAGTCACCTCCATTCAACAGGGCAGTCATGGTCTATCCACCACAGAGCAGGCTCATTGTAAGGAGCCATTTCTCACAACAGTGAGGCAGAAGGCTAACAAGCTCCCTTGGGTGAAATGCTCTCCACAGGTTTACAAGAAATACTCATGAGTATACCCTCTTCTTACGCGGGGCCACCCTGCTGATACACTGTCATGCCAACCCCATACTACAGGAAAGGTCTAAGAGCTTTCTGAGGCATCTCTTCCACTGCTGTTCCCAAACAAGTGGATTCCTAAGGGTGGACTTGCCAATGGTCCAGCTGAGCACTGACCTCAGAGAAGCAATTGTTCCCTCTGGTTATGTACAACCCGGGAAGTACCTTCTGGAGACAGGAAGAAAGCAGTGATCGCCAACACCAGATTAGGATACATTCAGAGGGCACGGGAGGCAGGAGACGTGAGTGTTGCAAGGGGACCTGCATGTGTGGTTAAGGAGGGAAAGGGACCTTGCGGGCTAGCTGGCATCTGCTCTACCTCTCTGCACAACAAGCTAAAAGTATCGCCCTGTTGACATGACCTGCTGGGGAAGCAAAACACTTACAGGGGCAGGCCCAGCGGCAGCCACAGGTCTCTTCTACCCGAATAGGGGACTGGCTGTTGGGGCACGAAGGCCTCGGACCCCGGTCACAGTTGACCCGATGATTTTGCAGCATGGTCTGTCCATCAGGCAGGCAAGTCACTGTGTGGCACTGATCTGGCAAGGTCCAGACGTCCCCAGGCTGTCAAAGGAAAAGCCGGATTCAGGCAGGGAATGAGATGAGGCACTCTGACACTAAGCCCACCCACCAAACAACTAAGTACCAGGGGACACAGAGACCAGGGCTGCTCACAGCCCTAAACGGCAAGGAGGCTGAACATAAGACAGGAAGCAGGAAACAGAGATTTACAAGTAGATCCCCCAAAACAGAACATGGGTAAGAGGGAGAAGTGGGCTAAGATCAAAGGAAGGAACATGGACCAGTAGGAATGAGGGCCCCAAACGTGTATTTCTGCTCTTTCAAAGACCATGGAAAGGAACTCACCCTCTTCTCATTCCCATCCTCATCTATGCAAGTTCTGACAAACCCTGAAACAGACACAAATAAGACCTTAGTCCCCACCTGTCACCCCAGTGTTTCAGTCCATTCACAACATCTGCTTGGGCCATCTGGTCTAGGCTCTGACATCAACTCTGAAAAGAATCTAAAGGGCTATAACAATTAGTGATACAGGCTCAGGCTCACGAGGTTCAAGGTTAAAGGTCTGTGGTTTTCAGACATGCCTTGTGGTTATCAGTAACTACCATGGTAACCACAGTGATCATATGCCAAATCATTTCCTTCCATAAGGACATCACTGCCACCAATGGGGGGGGGTGCTGAAGGAGATGGGACAAGATCCTAGAAACCGAACAGAAATCTACTTGAAGATTCCTGCCAGGGCTCTATCATCTATTAATAGCAGGAAAGGGCAAGAACTCTGTAGTAGTAGGCTTTTATTTATAGCAATTATATTAAGGAAATTTAAAAAAAAGCCAAATTACTATTGTACTTTTCTTGAGTTTCTAACATAAAATCAGTTTAAATCATGGTACTTTGATATTGTATCCCATGTTGTTGTATTCCTAAAGTCTAGAGGATATGGGAAAAAATACCATGCATGATCTGTAAGATACTGGGGTTCCCTGATTATGTCTTCTGATTTTTCTGTCCAAGACCCGCCTGCACAAATAAGCAGGGGCTTTCTCTGCTAAAGTTGAGACGGACAATTAGAGTGAAAGGAGTACACCCAGAAAACTTGGAGGGTTGTGCCATACACTTTCCATGAGCAGAAACACTAAGGTTCTCATCTGTAGAGCCACATTCACTGAGGCCAAGGCTTACGCATGGACACCCTAGCATCTCTAGCATGGTGTTTTTGTTTGCGTGGGTTTCACAGATTTCAGGGGGAAAGAAAAGTATCCCAAGACTCACCAGAGCACAGTTTGTGGAGGAAAGAGTTGCTCAGGGTGACCATGGTGGGCAGGTCTTCAACTCGCTGCAGCTTCACCACATTAGAGCTGGCCTCCGGGCCCACCAAGGTTCTTAGCTGGGCCGCGTCATACTGATCCCCAATTCCAATGGGGAACACTGTCACTCCTAGAGTTACCAAAGGAACAAGAGAAGGTCTGCGGTCAGGGAGCTCAAATAGACTGGCCAAAAGCTATATGCAGCATCTATAGAGCCCAGTGTTCCCCAGACTGGCTGCATACACCAACTCAGTGAGGAAGCTGTTCAGCAGTCAATGGGATTAATGGGCCCCTACTCTGGGCCAGGTACTGGAGTACAGTGAGGATGCAGCAGCAGATCAAGTAGAGAAAGTCCTTGTCCCCTGTATGTAGGGAGCGCCTGAATCTGAGCAAACACATAGGCGACCTTTAAACAGGCAGAAACAGGGTTCTAAGTGCTATCTCTTCTAAGGCTAAACAAACACTATTAACATATGAATACTCAAGCTCTGGCTTTGTCTGCAAAGCTATATCCATTAAAGGAAGCCATAAGTTAATCAGAAAGGGCCCTAGATAGGAGAAAATTCAGAGAACTACAAGCCACCAGAGGTCTTCACGTCTTCAGTTGATTAACATCAGAAAACAACTGTTTGCTTTCCACTTCTCCTCCCCCTATTTTCTGCCCTTTAAAAGAATAAACCTGGGGATGGTTCTGGGTACCAGCTGCCTTCATCAGAGGAGTCAAAACCACCCTCCCTGCCTTTCTCTTCTTGTGTGTTTTGGTGTTTATTTTTATGTTTACTCGCTAATCCACAGCCGCCCCCCACCCAGGCCATACATTGAGCCATACGGGTCTTGGCACCTGTACCCCTGGAGCTTACAATAGGGAACACAAACAACCAACAACAGTAAATACTGCGTTGTCGGAAAAGTCATGGATGCATTTTTGCATAGGAAAACATAGAAAAATACATTGGGACATTTCCAATGATCTAATACATGCTGTGTCAGATGTAGAAAGTGCTTATCCCAACAAAGTGGGATAAGGAGGACAGCCACGCCCAGGGGCAGGGTGGGGCTACTACTTCACATCTGGTGGTTGACAAGTGTGTGGTGAACGATGGCATTGGGGCAAGGACCAGAAGTGAGGAAGGAAGGAACCAAGTCCTTCTCTGGGGAAGGAGAACAGCAAGCGCGAAGGCCCAGAGCAGGACAACTGCACGCTCCAGGGTGGCTACAGCCGAGCAAGCACCCAAAGGAGTGGGCGCGGATCACACGGAGCCTCAAGGACCCAGCACAGGCCTGCCGTGTTCTCTCTGTGAAGCAGAATGTCAGCGAAGACTACGGTGCAGAGGATGCCGTGGGCTGACCTCGATTTTCAAAGGCGCACTACAGCTACCGTGATGAGAATGAACTGCAGGCTAGAAGCTGAGGCTCTGTTAGAAAGTGTCTGAGTTATTCCAGGGATACACCAGGCATGGCTGCATGTGCCTGTGATCCCAGCCAATCAGGAAGCTGGAGCAAGCCAATGGTGACACAGCAAGACCCTGTCCAAAACGCCTATCTCTGTCTCTCTCCTTTTCCCTCTTTCTCTCAGAAAAAAAAAGTATATGCATAACATATACACGCACACATATATGTAAAAAGAAAACAGTAAAGCTAAGCGAGTGATAAAGGGGGTCAAAGCTGGGGTGCGGGGAATACTGTGTGGAATACTGTGTTTCTTGATGTGCTTTCTTGATGGAGGAATTTCTTGTGATTTCTTGATTTGTTGATAGATTGCACAGGATACGAGAGAACAAGTGGAATCAAGGATGCTGACTTTTTGACCTGAACAACCGGGACCGCTCTTTTCTAAGATGAGAAAGACTGCAGGAAGAGGATTTGGGTATGAAAGGCAGGAGTGTGAGGTGAAAGGGCAAGGCTGGAGATGAGCATTTTGAAGTCAGTGGTGTATAAATAATTTAGACCACCGAGGGCGAGTGTGAGGTGAGCCCAGGGTACGTGCATGTCCATCCCAGACGAGGCACTGAGGCTCTGTGTGACCAAGTGACCCATCCTGACCACGTCTGTCCCTCGAGATCACAACTGCCTCCTTTCCCGACGAAAGGCTTTCTTTGGATTCTTGACACTGTTAAACTAAACTATTTTGGCCTAAAACAGCCGCTGTACTCCCACACTTGGGTTCCTATGGATAAGCGGAAATCGAACAGGTTAGGCTATTTTTTTTTTTTTTGGAGAGGTTTTTGCTATCGGGCGCGTGCACTCGCCAGACAGAGAGAGAAAGAGAGACAGAAACTGAGAAATCACCCCCCAGGGGGGATGGTCACGCCACAATCCTTTCCCCTCCATTCTCCTCTTGGGATCTTGGGCACGCACGCACACGTGCCCGGTGTGAGTTTTAAGCCACCGGGTCCGGGATGCGAACCGCAGTCGCCTACGTGGGAGACTAGTGACATAGCCATTACGCTAACTGCGGGTTCCCAGGTTAGGCTATTTTTCTGAGCCCGTTACTAAGTTACAGCCAATCACAGCAGCTAGACTTCAGTCAATCACAGGCATCCCGCCTTTTAAGTCATGCTGCAGACAAACTTATGTATGTAACTTAATACGTAACGAATGACTTCTCTGCCTCGCTCGCTCTCGCTCACATTTTGTGTACGACACTTTCCTGTTCTGCCAACTTAAAAGGTCAAGTTAACCACAAGGCTGGTCAGAGTTGTCAGAAGTCCAGGGACAATTCTTCAGTTTAAATTGTGTTAAAATTTACTCTATTAAAACTCTATTAAATTGGCTGGTTTATTTTTCTTTTAACAGCACTGAAGGAGAAAAATTACCATCTCGAAATTCCCCAATTCAAGGGGTTGGCAGGTGATGTGGTGGTTAGAGTGCTGGACTCCCACATGGTCAACCATGGTTCAAGTCCCAGACCTAGAAGCTTGCTTTCTCACTCGCCCTCTGTGTCTGTGTGTGTGTGTCTCTTTCTGTCTCTCTCTGGTCAAAATTTTAAAATAATGATGATGATGATGATGTGAATAAAATTAAATAAAATAATTATTTGTTTAAAATTCCCTAAATCAGTTCTGAAGAAAGTTCTAACCATTTGCAATTTGCTTAAGGTTAGAATCGATTTTCTACTAGTGACTATTCAGCTCTTGTGAGTTTGCTGTCATCCAAACTGACATCCTTTACTGCTTTGTGTCCGTTTCCCTAAAATAATGGGTTTCCTACATGTATTACTTTCATTTACTCAAAAACCATTAACTGGTCACCTATTTTGTGCATCGTGCAAAATTTTGCTCTTACCTTGAAAGTAGTTTATGTGGGAGACACGTATGTAATGAAACATACAGTATAAATGTGATTTGCACATGTAAAGCAATTCAAATGTGGCACAGAGAATAGAGTGAACAACTTTTTCAGGAAAGAATACCAGGAATATGGCAGGATTTTGAAAACTTAATGGGTGGCCTCAAGGTGACTAATAGCACACCCTCCTCATCCAGACCTCCCTTACAACGCCACCTGTCCCAGCTCAGGCTCTGCCACTGTTTACAACACGTGCTCACGGGGCTCCTAGGCTGGGTCACGCCTGCAGCCTTCCTCTTCCTGAAACAGCATGCTCTCTTGTCCATCAGCCCTGTACCAGGAAGAGCTGTGAAAATGCTCTAGGGCATAGCATTTGCATGAGAGACCAAGGACACCACGGTGTGTTGGAGGTATGGGAACAAGTGCAAGCGTGGCTGCATTAAGGGTTACAGTCTAGAACATGCAGACGAGTACAGATAGACACACACGGACTATTGTTTGGTTTCCAAAACACAAAGTGACTGGGCAATTTCCTGCTCTTTGAATCTAAGCTACAAGTGGGTAATTAAGTATATTTAAAATTGGGACCGACAGATGGCATAATGGTTACTTCACTGGACTCCCCAGGTAGTCAACCAGGGTTCAAGTCCCAGACCTGGCAGCTAAAAACTCATGCTGGGTGCATGTGCGTGCATGCCCAAAATCCCAAGAGGAAAATGGTGGAGAAGAGACTGCAGCATGGCCATTCTCCGCTGGAGGTTGATTTCTATTTCTCGCTTTCTGTCTCTCTCTGTCTCTCTGGTAAGTGTACATGCCCTATAGCAAAACTCTCTCTAAAATAAGCAAATAAATTAAATTAAATCAACCATAACATCCCAAAGTAATTCCCACCCTCTTCCAGTCCTGTCATTTCAAGAGTCTCGAGGTGATACACTGGACACTCACGGTTGGCCCTGGCGGCGGCAGCTGCTGCAGCCACAGAATCCCTGGAGACACCCGTGACGAGGACAACGACCGCCTTAGCAGCTGCAGGCCTGGCCCCATGGATTTCCGAGGTGATGTACCGCACAGCAAAGCCCAGTGCGTCCCCTGAGAACGGAGATCAGACCACACGTGTCAGCTCTGAATGTGACGAATAGTGTTCCAATGCCAGGTGGTGGATCTGCTCATGGTGGATCCTTAAGTTGTTCAAAAGCTGAGCAATTCAGAGGCTCCAAAGCATGCACAGCTGAGCTCTGGAAGGGCTCCGAAAAAGCATCTAACCCCCACTTTATAGGAGAAGAAACCAGGGCCAAGGAGCAAGCGACTGGCCACCCATCCCTTAGGCCACGAATTAGGACGAGGGCAGGTCTGCCTCCAGCCCGTGGCATCAACGTTACCAATTTGGCTGGAGCCTCCCTCCCGCTGCATGAGGTCCACGAGGCCCAGTAAGTGGGCTCTGTCCTGGACCACGTTCCACGGCACGTCGATGGTGGTGATGCTCCCGTACTGCAGCACTGACACCTGAGTGAGATGAGGCCCTGCCGGCAAAGACGAAAGGGGATCGTGAGAACCAAGTGGAGCCCCGAGAAGGGCCGGTTCCTCACCCGCTGCTACGGGCGCACCACTCACCTATGTTGGCTTTTGAAATGAAAGCCTTGGCAAAGTTCTTCATTTCATCAAAGTAAGAAGCTGGAGAGTTGGAGGAGCCATCCAGGAGGAGGACCACATCCAGGGGCTGGCTGCAGGCTGCAAAGAGGATGGGAGAGTGAGAGCACAGGAGCCGGCAGGGGTTCCGGACGCCAGGCCCAGGGCATCCCCAACCACGCCCAGTGCCATGGCAACTTGGGCAGGGAGGAGAGGAAAGGGGAGCTGAAACTCCTGGGCTCGTGAGCACCTCCATTTTGGCAGCACTGAGAAGACTCCCATTCCACCCAAAGGCAGCCTGAATGCCTACAGATGAAAGCAAGAGGCATCTACTCCCTTGGGCCCAGGAGACTGCCGGTCTATAGAACTGGGTGCCATGGTGGAGTGGCCAAACAAGGAATGGGGACAGCCGTCTCTCTAGAAAGCGAGCTTGTGCATTCGCAGGTCTTACAGAGTGGGTGAGGGCACGAGGAGGTATTCCAGCTACAATGCCAAGGGCTCGTACTAACACTCCAGCACATTCGGAGATCTGGTAAGATGGCGTGGATGCTGTTCTTGGCAGAAATACCACAAGAATGTAAATCTATCTGTAGCTCTGTTTAAAGACAAAGAAACTAAAGCACTGGCCTCCGCTGTGAGATCGAGAAACACGTAAAACCCTAGTTGTTCTTGGATAGTCCCACACACGTCAAAGAAAGGTGTTCGAGAACTAGGCGCTGACCAGACACCACTGCTGGCTGCAAAGACGTCATAGCGGCCGCGGTGACGGGCGAGTTGTGAGCATTGGCCGTGTGCCAGATGCTGTTTTAAGAATGTCAGAAGTAGGTGCTTTGCTGTCCCCGTTTTTCAGATGAGACTGATGTATAAGCACTTCCCCCAACTTCCCAGCCTGCAAGCAGCAGAGGTAAGGCTCATGCTAAGGCAGTGCAGCTCCAAAATCTGGGCATGTAACCTGCTGCCTGTCACCTGACTTTCTATGGCCCCAAGGAGTGGGGGCTCCTTAAAAGCATTTCATCAACTCAGTGCAGTCAAAAGGAGCCATCAGTCACCACGTTTAACAGAGGTCATCCTCGGGGAAGAGAGCGGGAGTGCGTGGGGATTCAGCTGTGGGACAAAGTAAGGCTTGCACTGTCCCGCCACCTCCTGGGGTTGTTTTAGCTATGGGCTTGCGTTACCTTTGGGCTTCCAAGACCCTCCCCCATATGAGAATCATAAAGTATCTCATTGCCTGGCAGGTGAGGAATCGCAGCACCTGGAAGGCGAGAGCCGACCGAGGCCACAGAGCAGAGAAGTTGGGATCAGAACCCAAGGGTCACACCCCTGCAGGATGCACACGGCAGCACCAAGGCCACCGCCAGCCCTCCCTCCCGCACAGGAGGGGCCAGCTTACCGGGAGCAGGGGGCAGGGTGGGGATCTTCAGCCCCTCCCCAGAGCAGCAGCTCTGCAGCACCAAGTCAGGAGCCTCTCTGGGGAGCGTCTCAAAGTCCTGGATGAGGATGGGGGCATTGGGCCAGCCGATCCTCTCCAACTCCTGTACGTCCGCGTGAGGGCCGACTCCGATGGGCACCACCTGGATGTCTCCGGGGAGCCGCACGATCTCGTCGGAGGCGGGGTTTCCTGTGACCATGTAGACCAGGTTGGGTGCTTGCTCCCGGTCCCCCTGGCTGGCCGAGAAGCTGTGCTCGGACAGATACTGCAGGGCCAGCCCCGTGTTGGTCACGTTGCCGCCCTGGAAGCGGATCTCCCGCACCCGCTGCAGGATGTCCACCTTGGACTGCGCCTGGCTGAAAGTGTACCCTGCGGTCACCACGTAGGAGTACTGCAGCACCGTGACGTGGATGCCATCCTGGCCCACGTCCATCCGCTGAATCACCTCCTCCACGAACTCCTTGCTCCTGTTGAAGTTGGCTTCCCCGATTTTGTCCGACCCCTCCAGGACAAACACCACGTCCAGAACCATGGAGTTCCTCTTGGGTCCTAGGGGTGAAACCTGCAAGAGCCCCGGGTTCACCGTGACCTGTGCCGCGCTGGGGGGCCGGGTGGGTGCAGGGGGCTCGGGGGCCAGGTCACAGAGGTAGCTGATGATCTCATCCCTCCGCTGCTCCAGCTCATCCACACCACTGAGCAGGAAGGCCTTGTTCTCGGGGGCCTGCTTCTCGATGAGGCGGATCTGCCTGAGGTTGGTGTGCGGCCCAATGCTCACTGGGACCATGACGACCTTCTTCTTCTTTAGGCCCTGTACGTAGCGGACCAAGTTCCGGGCCATCCCTGGGGCCTCCTGGCTGGCCGTCAGGAGCAGAGCGACTCGGGAGGCCTCGGGGCGGTCGATGTTGCCGAAGATTTGGAACAGCGTGTACTTGAGGACCTCGCTGATGGAGGCCACCTGGCTGCCCGCATACCGCACCTGGCTGGCGATGCGCCGCAGCTCCGAGGGCCGCTTCCGGTCCTTGAGGTCGATGTAGGAGTGGGAGCCGTCGTGGTACTCCACCACGGCCACACGGATCCACTTCTGCGAGATGTGCAGCCGCTCCATCATGTCCACCACGAAGCCCTTCAGCACCTCGAACTCTGCTTCTGACAGCTTGGAGGAGCCGTCCAGCAGGAAGACCAGGTCCAGCAGCCTGCTGCAGTGGAAGCTGTGCAGGGGCGGCTCAGGGGTGTCCTCCACGTACAGGGTGGTGGGGCTCACCGGGACAACGGTGGGGGGCAGGCCTCCTGGTTTCTGGCAGGCTTCACAGGTGAGGTTGACACCATCACAGTGACTGCGGCAGAGGGAAGAACCCAAAAAAAAAAAAAAAAAAAAAACTCAGAAAGGATCTCAGGCACTGCTTAGCCCTACCCGGAGAGCCACTATCATAGTCCCAGAGACCTGCCTGTCTGGAACCCCAAAGTCAAGCTCCCAAGAACATTCTCCACCCAAATGAGATGTCATTTTTTTTTAATTTGCTATAGGCCACTTGTGCTTGTCAGAGAGAGACAGTGAGGGAGGGAGAGAGAAAGTGAGAAAGCACCCCCAGGTGGCATGGCCTTGCTACAATCCCTTCTCCTCTCAGGATTTTGGCCATGCACACACACGTATCCAGTATGTTTTTCAAAGCGCTGGGTCCAGGGCTCGAGCCACACAGTTGGCCATGTGGGATCCAGCCGCCTTCATCACCACACCACCTGGCTGGCCCAAGATGTCATTTTCTAACATATGTCCCCAACAGTACACAGAAGCACACACCCCTCCCCACCCCCAGAGCAGAGGCTTCCCTTGATTCTAAAAGCCAAAGCTTTAATCATCCCAGGACCTGAAAACGACTCTTGTCATTCTAGGCCATCCACAAAACTATTCTGTATTGATTTCTTTTGAACCTATGTATGTAGCAACATGGATATTTCATTATAGTCCAAACTTTCTTACGAGTATTGCCAAGGACAAATTTTGTTCTAAAGTACTGGTGTTGACCAGGACTTGCAAATGTTCTCCTGAAGATCAATGCTTTATTTGTTTTAACAGAACGCATGCTGTATGATTCCGTACCATGTTTAGTACGGCCAGTAGTAAGGGAGAGAGGAAAAGCTGGAGTAAGGACATTTTGGGAAGATACATAAGGAGTCAAAGTCCCGGCTCTACCTCGCAGAACAAAGGACTCGGGAGCAGTAGACAGGAGCAGACACCCCAGCTGGAAAAGCGTGTCTACTTCATTCATTCCTCCGACAGACACGTGGTGAGCAATTACGTGTAGGACGCTAGACAGGCCTGTGCTAGCCCGGAGCACACACCACAAACCGCCTCAGCATCACCGGCCCACCCACGAACTCCTACACTGCAGCCACATCCCTGCGCTCTCTGGTCACTTCACCTTTCACCACCGTCCTGGGAAGTGGCATGATGTGCCAGACCCAGGGGAGGTCAAGCCACTCGTGGGGAAGGCCCCTCCGGGCTAAGAACCCCCGTGTGTACTCCTAGCCTTTCAGCAACTGGCCTTCTGCACTCCCAGCATGGCCATGAGGGCAGCAGTGCCCTGAGCCCTGGGAAGTGACCCCTGTGGCTTCAGCTGCAGGTGATGTCCCCAGGCTGCTGTGGCACCGCTGTCCACACCCTGTGTGCTCCCTCGCAGGCGCCATGTCGGGCCATTCATTTTAAGGCCTCTGGGCTCACATGTCCTCCTGGCTCAGAAGGCCAAGCCAGCCTCAGGCTCCCCCATTCTCTTCCTCACGGCCTCCGGATCAGCCCGAGGAGAGTGGGCAGGCAGGGATTCCCTGGGCAGTGAACCCCGACTTCCTCATGACCACACGATTGCCTGCCTCGAGCCCTGTGAACAGTGCATGAGCGGCTTTCTAGTCTCCTGTATTCGAGGTGCGAGCACCTGTTTGCACAGATGGTGTGGCAGGATCTGACTCTGGCAGCCATGGCCAGAGCCCCCGCCCCAGAGAACTGACGTTCTCAAGTTTAAGTTCCCAGAAGGCCTGATCGATGAGGAGTGGTGTTGAGCATACTCACACTGTCATGAATGTTCCCTGCTCACACGCAGGACTTCGGAAAGCCCAGTGCTCACTCCGAGGGTACCTCTCACCCCCCAAAGGCTTGTCTTCCAGACTCAGTTGCAGGGAGAGTCCAGGGAGACAGGAGCAGGTGTCTCCCTCCCTGGCATGAAAGCCACAGCCATGACGTTGACCGAGATCCTGGCATGTCCACGTAATGCTGACAGGTCAGGGGCTCCATCTCACTTTCCTTGCCTGTATTCCCATCTCCAGTGAAAAGGAAATCTGACTTTGATAGACATCTGCCCTCAGACTAGATGTGACCTCCAGGGACAGTAACAGGCTGTACCCTGCCTTCAGCTAGAAAAGGTAAAAACCTCTTAAGATATTTGGGTGGGGGGTAAGAGAAATCTAGTCTGTCCTTAGAGAAAGAAAAGCAAATATGAGAAACAAACTGAACAATAAAATAATCAATTAAAAAAACTAAATAGGGACGGGACCAGCAGTTAGCGTAATGGCTATGTCGCTGGACTCCCATGTAGTCAACTGCCCGGTGGCTTAAAACTCACACTGGGCGTGTGTGTGTGCATGCGTGCCCAAGATCCCAAGAGGAGAAAAAAAAAAAACTAAATAGGAACA